TGTATGTTAAGGAAGTGGATTGCTTTTATATTGACAAGACTGCTGGTTCATGTTGGGGGACTCTGATTGCTATGTGTGCTATAATTGCACGCTGAACCTACAGGAAACTAATGCTAGTTAAGAATCCTAGTGCCTTAGCTACCTGTCTCCCTGCATTAAAGAGGAAACATGTGAATTGGTGGGGCTCTTGCAAAGTGATTTCATGATTACACTTACTAGCTGACACCTGTGAAATTCCACAGAGATCTATGGTAGCTCCCTGAAATGATCTGCTGGCATAGAAGTTAGGTGCAGCTTTTACCTTTAGGGCTACTTGGATGGAATTGCCAGGTCTTCATACTGTCGCTGGCATGGCATAAGACAATGGGTCAGGACTTCTCAGGGCATCGTTGTCTACACTGGCTGTCACTAACCAGACGAAAGCTGCATCAAAGCCTGGAGATCTGTTTAATCTGTTTCACCTGAGCACTCTCTTTCAATGTGGTGGGCTTTTCCTGCTCCTTGACTCTCTCTATAAGACTACATTGCTGCTGGTGGCTGCTCCTATTGCTGTCTTAGGAGCCTTCACTGGCAGTATCTTCAGAGCTGTGGAACATAAGAAGTGCGGCAGGGTTGATGTGCATTATGGTCCTTTCGCTTTCAGGAAGTCTGTGAGAACAGTTAAGTGAAAGAACAGAGTCCCTTCAATAGGATGTTTCAATCCTGATATCCTTTCGCATGAAGCTCCAGGTAATGCCTTCAGAGAGGTTAATCTTGCTCCAACCATTGCGAGCTCCATGTGATTTTGTATTTATATGTGGTTTAAAAAGAGAACTCTTTACCACCAACATCAAAGGTTTATGGAGATATCTACTACTACTGGATTACCCTTCAGTGTAGCATTCCTTCCTATGCATAACAGTCATCCTGAAATAATTTAAGTTAGCCAAAAAGTATCAAAGTGGCCTTTGCATGATGCAGCCAAGGAGCTTGTGGGAAGGAGCTATGCTCTCTCCTCCAACTCTATCACACCAGACCTCTCCTAGCACCCTTCGTCTTGTATGTGAGGATATGGTAGCCATAATATCACATCTTGCAGTCCTAATCACTGCCTGCCATTACTAATGGGGAAGATGGCATTTTTCATGCTCCATTGACGTTTGTAGCCCTGACAGATCACAAGAGGTCAATCAAGTCACAGCATACTTTCACTTGTTATTTCATGAAATCAGGCAACAGACGGATGGGATGACCAATGTAGGCATGCTGCTCAAGTCAGAATTGGGAGCAGATGTTTAACATTGAATAACCACTGGACTTTTCATTTCTGGAGTAGACCTTCAGTTGGCCACTTCTTCCAACCATCAATTCCTCTCCCTTTCAGAAAAATAAAACAGTTACTTTCTCATCATACTTTGGATGCAGCCTTGTCAAAATCAAAAATGCATCGCGCAGTTCATTTTCAGAACAATATGGTGAACATCAGAGTTTGTGTTCGCTGCAGTCAGTTGCAGGCTTCCCTATGACACGATATCTCTCCTATTCTGTACCTCCATCACTGTTTCGCAACTCCCACAATGATTCTTCACCCTACCCCTTTTACATTACTATAGTAGGTGGCCCCTTTAAGAGATAATTTCTGACCTGCTAGTCTATTCAGGAATGGAGTGGAGGAATCTGCTTGAGGCGTGTGGGGACTGGCCTAGCAGCTGAATCAGGGGAGGAGGTATGTAAAGACACTGTAATGTACTCGGTAAATAAGTGTTATTAGTCATAGTAAATTGTTGTGATGTAAAAATTAACCAGCAGAACCAAGAAATTACCATTAATGTCCCCATTTTATACCCACAGCCCGTCATGAGCGTGCTGTCCATGTCTTTGCCTTTCCCGTATCCTCTCCATATTGAAACAAGTCAACCTTAGTTTCTTTGACGAATCCTTTGAATTTGTACTTCCTTATCATACCAGACCCAACCCTATCACATTCAATTATTTCCTATGACATTAATCATTCCCTCAGCTGTACAATACAACCAATACAATCTAGTGACTTTAGCTGCGTGCAGACTTGACAATGCCATGGATAAACCACACAAATCTCTCGGCTTATGGCAGAACCAGTCCCTGATTGACCATGGTCCATCTCCTGGGCTGAATTTATAAGAAATTCCTGACCCAATAACCAGTAATGCCTGATCTGATTTTGTTTGACTTCCAGAACTGATCATGACCCAATCCATGGACTGAAATGTTGCTGATTACTCAGGTTTTGTTGGACAAACTGTCTGACTGACTGCAGCCAACCCCTGAAACAGGATTGGGCCAGTCCCTGGACTGACTGTGCTGGTGCTCCCTCACCCTTACTCCACAAACCATACATCCCCTTTCCTGTTCATGGCTACTGTCTTCATTCACATGCATTGTATTTGCCATGTACACTGCAGGCCAAGCGCCACCTCGGACGTTGACATCACACTGTACAGCCACAAGTTGCTGCCTTGCTTTCTACAATAAGCCTTCCATCAAAAACACAAGCAGCTGTTTGCTTTCTCCATCAAGCTGCCACCTAGCAACACAAGCTGCTATCTTAGCTTGCACACTAAACTGTCACTCAGACACAAGCTGCGGCATTGCCATTCTTCAGTTGGGTTCTGGGATGGTTCACATATTCTGACAACAACTGCAGTTGTAGAGCTTACAGTGAAAAGACCCATTGGGGTAGCACGCTGGAAATCCAGTGTTGGAAATTCCTGGAGTCTTCACAATGGTTAAAGATTTTTAAAAATATACAAAATTCCCCAATTTACTTTTTTTTTTGACCCAGGTTTACAGAAAGCATGGACCAGGCTTCTGTACTTAACAAAAAATATTATTTATTGCAAATAAATAATCTCTAGCTACAGGTAAATGGTTATATACCATCAGCATATACCAATACTAATTAAAACTCTTGTCCCCTTATAAATTCCTCCATAGACAGACACACAGACGCATGCACAAAATATAGGTTCTGGATGGAGTGAAATCTTTGAATAAAGAGTTCAGTGAATCTTTTTCAAAAAGGTTGCTGAGATGTTTCTTTTTGTTTTTGTGCTGCTCAGAACATTGCTTCTCTGTTGTCCTTTTCCAAATGCTTCCACTGGTTTGCAAGAGGCACAGGATGGCTGGTTCACTTATAAAAGAAGTCTCTGACTTATCAATTAAAAGTCACAACTTAGAGCAACTGCTGAAACAAAGATAAACTGGTTTTCTTAGACAATGAAGGAAGAGCTCCTAGCTGGAGACCTGATGGCTTCTCTGTATCTTATTCCCAGCCTCAAGCTGTTAAGTTACCGGAGAACCAATCACATGGTTGTCGGCAGACAGAAGATCTTTGTCATCAATGACTGGTCACTAGTCCACAAACCAAACATCTTTTTGTTGCTAAACAAAGCTCTATTTGTGTGCAACCCTTTGATCCCAGTTCATCTGCAAACATTGCTGTAATCCACAGCCATACAAAACAGTGTTCACAATGAGTATCAAAATTACTTGCTTTCAAACTGTGCAGCAATCCTTGGTTTTACAAACAATTCTTTTTTCATTTCAGTCCACAATTTAAAAAACACAAAAATAAAAAGATACAATCTTTACAACAGCGAAAGTGAAGATAACCAATATTTACACTTGGGAAAAAAAGCAAAGAACCTACCTGGACTGGAGTCACAAGTATGCACTTTCTATAAGCAGTGGAGTATCTCAAATGGTCAGAAATTAATTGGGAAGGCGAAGTTAAATCCACTGAGTTATGACATTAATGAAATGCAAATGTATGTATAGTAGGGCAACTCTCCTACTGAGGATACAGCACATTATTGCTAAAATTTATCTCAATAGTAAAAATATGATTTTTAGATTCTCAATTGATTAAGTCATCATGCCCACCATTATTCTCATCTCCTCTGGGAGCAAAAAATTGTGCCTTAAATTTCTATGCCCAAATTATAATGCCAACAGTCTGTGTCAGTTGTAATTGCACCCTCTGCCAATGGAGGTGCTGCAGTCAGACTGGTGGTGGCTCAGAGAGTCAGAGTTGTTTGGCAACATGCACTTTTACATGCAGGAGATATGGTCAATGATGTTAGAAGATCTAACTTTATTTGCATCACATGGCTAACCAGGAATTTGTCCTGCTCTTACAGCCTGGCATTGATGTGTGTTGGAAGGATTTGTAGGTTCATACTCAATCTGCTTGGCCATTTTATGAATGCAACTAGTACTGCTAGAGGGAGTTATAATTACAATATACCAAGTTTACAAAATGGGCATCTATTATAAGTTAAGACATATCATTTTAGAATAGAAATATAAAAGTAAGGAATGCGTGTATGATTTTCAAATAAGAACTGAATTATGCCTGACGGCCCCACTCCAATTATAATTGTCCTCTGACTCCACATCAATCAAAAGCTATGCCCTTTTAGTCACAAGGTTATGGATTCAGATCCCACTCCAGTCATTTAAGTAAAATAATTTAGGCTGACACCTTAGTTCAAGATCAAGGGAGTGCTGACTCTTGGAAGTACCGTCCTCTGACAGGGGTGTGAAACAGAGGCCACTATTCAAAGAAAAGCAAAGAAGTTTCAACTATGGCCTGCACAATACTTGCCTCAATTAATATAATTACATCAATTATTTGGTCCTTTTCTCACTGCTACTTGCGGAACTCTGTTAAGTGCAAACTGGCTTTGGCACTTCACTACATTACAACAGTGACTACACTTCAAAACCTAACTGGCTGTAAAGCACTTTGCAACATCTTGAAATTGTGAAAGACACAGTATAAATGCAATTTCTTATTCTTTTTGTTTCATTGTACAATCAGTTAAGCATCATAGAACATACAATTGAGTTATTTGTAATTTCTAAAATTTATCATGCACACTAAAGATGAACACATCTTTCAGCTTCTAGTAAATACAACATTCCATTCATGTTAATGGGTCAATGGATTTTTGATATAAATGCAGTGTATTTCTTACCTTACTATACTGTCCAACAACATGTTTAAGGACATTGGGAGGAGCATCATGTAGTAGTGGATCGAGAGCTGGCAGAAATGTGCATTTCTGCAGGATATTTTTCAGGGCCTTTTTAGCCTGTTGAAGTGGAAGACCATAGTGAAGTTGTAAAGCATCTGCTGAAAACAATGTTTGGAATTTGCAACACATCACGTCCTACATTCCTGCGATCGAAACATCAGACTGCCTGAGTGTTTGCAGTTGGCTCAGTTATAGATCTCTGAAGTGAGGCACTGCTTGTTTGGTCAGACATGGTCGGCAATGATTTTAAGTACAGCATTAAGCCAAATCAAAGCTACTAACAAACTGTAAATAAAATTCAATGTTTGAATTGGTATAAATCCAGTTTACATTTCAACACAATATTACACAAAATATGATCTAAATCATCCAATTAATACAGAAAAGGTTAAAGCAAGCAAATAAGAAATCAATGCCATTTAAAGTTGCTCTGATGAAGGAATTTCAGCATCACTATAGTTCACCTATTTTTGATAGTAATTTATCTTTACCGTTGTTAAATAGATTATTAGATAAATGTTTATTCCAGATAAAATTGGCATCACAATTTCAGATGAGCACTAAACTTATTTAGTTTTCCATTTGTGAACAACTTGGGAAGTACATATTATTGTGCCAATATCAATCTGTAGGAACTAGAATAGTTGGGCATGCAGTAGACCTGCAATTAATTTAAGTGGCAGCTCATGTTGCACTACTGAACCTCAGACCAGACAGGCATTGTACCTTAAAGGATGATTAGATGGCATCATAACATGTGACATTCCAGTATAAAAGTACCTGTCTTACCTTCAGTACCTGTAAAAGTAGTAGCCTGCTTGCAGCTTCTGTCTTTGCTTTATGTAATCAGTGAGCGCAGGACCCAGGCCATGTGGAACTCCGAGTTGAATCATATGTTTTTTTGGCCAAATCCACGTTGTGTCATGGTTTTTGGAGCGATTTTCACCACAAGGCATACTGAGGTCTCTCACCATATCTTACCACTGCATTTATTAACTACCTCTGCCCCTAACTCTCAAATCTAACTCCAGCCCCATCTTGCCACTGTCTTGTATCAATGCCATCTTGAAAAGGCCACTATACATCTAGATGAGCAGTAGCATTCTGAAGATGAACTGCTCAGTGATGGACAGAACATGAACATGTCAAAGAAGACAGTGATTTGGAGGCCCTGTTGGTTAGGGTGGTGCAAAGGAGAAGAGTCCTCTTCGTGGAGGACTGGCAGAGGAGGCCACATCAACAGTCCCTAGCAGCTATTCCAAAGTCGCCTTCTGGGTCAGTGCCATTTCCATGATGTAGAGGAATGTTCAGAAATCAATGACATTGTCTGTTATGCAAGGTAAGTGCCATACTTCTCTCTGCCTCAGCTACTGCACCCATCTCCCACAAGGCTCATACTCTGCCATTCCCACTATTGCCTGCAACATCGTCCCTCACTCACTCTTACCTACACTAACCTCTCACACTACTAATCCTGTATACTCATCGTGCCATCTGTGGAAAGCATAAAAGATGGAGTGAGAAGCTCCCAATATGGAGATGGGCATCTCCAGACTTCTTGTCCAATTCTGCCTCACCATAGTCCACATCACTCAGACTTCTATAAGATTCCACCCTCTGAAATCATAAATCACAGGATCATAACATACAGAAGAGGTCCATAGGCCCATTGAGTCTGTACCACCAAAGATACACTATTACCTACACTAGTCACACTTTCACACACTAGGTCCATAGCCTTGAATGTTTTAGCACGTCAAGTGTTCATCCAGATTGTGAGGTTACCTGCTTCAACTAACAGGCTGTGCATTCCAGAGCCCCACCACCCTCTGGGTGAAAACATTTTTCCTTAAATCCCCTCTAAACTTCCTACTTTTCACTTTAAAAGTGCTTTTCACCTTTTGACTAAGTGTAACAGCTGCTTTCTATCCATCCTGTCTATGCCACTCATAATCTTATACACCTCAATCAGATCCCTCTTCTCTGCTCTAAAGAAAACAACCTGAGCTTATCCAGCCTTTCTTCATAGCTGAAATACTGTAGTCCAGGAATCATCCTGGTGAATCTCCTCTGTATCTATTTCAGTGCAATCACATCCTTCCTAAAGTGTGGTGACCAGAACTGCACACAGTACTCCAGCTGTGGCCTAACCAAAGTTCTGTATAGTTCCAACATAATCTCCCTATTTTATAATCCATGCCTCATCTGATAAAAGCAAGCATGCCATATGCCTTCTTAACCACCCGATTAACCTGTCCAGCCACCTTCAGGAATCTGTGGATAAGCACCCCAGGATTCCTTTGTTCCTCTGAGCTTTCTACTGTCTTGCAATTCATTGAGTATGCCATTGTTTTGTTATTTCTTCTATATCTTACAGTAATCTAAATAGTTGATGCTGTTCATAAACTTTAAAATGTCCATCTTAACAAAAACCTTGTCTTCGTAGTCTGTATTTGAAGGGCTAATATATACAGAACATTCAGACTAAAATGTACACAATGGAAAATAATGCTGACTGCATCACAAGTCACAAAAAATATTTTGTATCATTGAAGTCTTAAAGTGCACAGAGTTGTTCCAAATTAAAAATCATACATTGTAAAGAGGCCACTGCACCTGTAAAATTACACAACATATCACCTTACCATCTAAAGTGTACAGTCATAAATGAAACTCACAAATTTTAAAGCTTCCAGATGAGATTGTAACCAGAAGAATATAATAAGGAAATATTGGTATCTTACTTCTATACTTGCTGAACAGACAAATCTCCATTTCACAGTGCCAGGATAACTAAATAACCTGTACGTATGGCAGGAAGACAATGGCTCATTTTAGCAATCGTAGTTTTAGTGGAAACATTGAAAAGTGCTGCGATTTTTTTTTACAAGCAGCACGATGAGTTTCTTACTCATATGGTAAGGCAGCAGTAAGTTGCCAATTAAGGGGGATTATTGCTTGTTAAACACCTTGTTGGTGGCCCAACTTACCTCATTAATATTCAATTTTTCAACTAGGCAAACTTGCCAAAGAAGTTAGACATCAAGAAAATTCGATATGGAAATCAGAGTGGATACCTGGTAGATTCAACTTGGTGGTTGCTTCAAAGCACCTTTATGTTTCTTATAACCAACCTGCATCATAGGGCACAACCCACAGCCACCAGATACACACTCCTCATCCACAAACAGTGCCAACCCAACCATCATGGCACCTCTCCAAACAAAAGCAGGCTGCTTAGGAAGCACTGACCCGCATAGCAGGTGCACCGGCTACTAATATTGAAAGGTTGCAACAAGGATATTTTGCACACAGGGACAGTAGCCAGCTCAAGGAATGGCCCAGACTGCATTTCAGGCCTGCTCACTTGCTCTCGTTGTGCTCTCTCACTTAGTGCCTACATACATGCTCATCATATCACCATTCCATGCTGGTTAGCATGTTGACACTTCAGCCAGAACTAAAGCTATCAGCATTGCTTGTCATGCTCATGAGTAGAAATCTGTCCGTGGGATGGAAGGGATGGGACACTTTGGTGGATGGCATGCCAAATTGTCATTCTAACACCTAGAGTTTGTGCAGCTGCCTGCATGGCAAACATGGCACACTGCACATTCAACAAAATAGCCATGTTGGGAAGTGGTGAGGACTTGTCCTCATTCCAGTCAAAGGAGAACACTTGACCAAAAGGGTACATGGATGTTTTAGGGCATAGTGACCAGGCAGGACTTGGTGCTAATGGCATCCATTGCAAATTGCCTCTAGAAAATGGCTGGGACAATGCCCAGGGTGGACAGAAAATGTGTCACTTTTATGGGCAAAATCACGGGGTCCACATTTGCTGGACGCTAGGACATTGAAGGAATAAATACAAGGAACAGCCACTTCCAAACCCCAGCTATATTTAATTTGCAAATATTTAATCGCACATTTGCTATGCCTCTCCATAATGTTGAAATAGCAACAATGACATTGCAAAAGGCCAATGTCGGCTGAAAGCAAACCATTACTCATATGACTTTCAAGAGTCCCATGTGAGCCTCACTTCTTCATCTGTCATGTAAGTTATATGACAGTTTGTACTGAATGTGGTGAGAAGTTGAATATTTGATGTGTTTTTGGAATCGAAAGGGTGTTGGAGCACTGGAGGCACTCCCTTCTTGATAACGTGGTGGTTTCTTAGTTGGTGCAGCATCTTGCCAAGGTGCTGCACATGCTGAATCTAAATGTGCATCCTTCCACCTCTACCCTCTGTCTCCTATGACTAAGCCAGTTCTGTGTCCATCCTGCCAGCTTACTCCTGATACCATGTGACTTCACCTTTTGTACCAGTCTGCCATTAGGGAGCTCGTCAAAGGCTTTACTGAAGTTCATGTAGACATCAACAGTTTTTCCCTCACCAATCATCTTTGTCACCTCCTCAAAAAACCCAGCCTCCCCCACATAAAACCATGCTGTTTATCACTAATCTGCCTCATTGTATGGAAATGAGTGCTCAGTCATCATCTACAGGGCATGATGCTAATGACTCTTCCGCGTTTAAAAAATACTCTTGCCCTTTCTTTCCCACTGTAAATCATTTCCACCAAGTGTCTGGTGCACTGTATGCCCAATTAGCATGTTGGTCACTACTAAAGTATTTGAAGATAGATGTAGTAGGACTCATTTTTCATCTCAGTACCACCCTTTCTGTCCTAATGAAGGGTCCCTGCATTTCCCTCTTTCCCATGGGTGTTCTGTTTCCTATCAGTTTCCCTGTCCCTTTATCATTTTCAGTTGGTTGGAGGAATATGGAAGGACTATCTTCTGGACTAGAGATTTATGGATCAGCTTTTAATCATCAGCTAATGTGGCTACCTGTCTGGCCCTAGTTATTCTCTGTTCTTCTAGCACTCTTATTGGAAACCAAATGGAGTTTTTGGAAATCTTCAATTTGATTTGATTTTTCGTAAGTGACTTTTGACTTCTTCCCACTACAAGAACTTTCAAAAGTTGATTGGAACAAAGAACAAAGATCAATGCAGCACAGGAACAGGTCCTTTCGCCCTCGAAGCCTGCACCGACGCATTTTGCCCTTCTACGCTAAAACTGGAGTTGAAAGTTCGCAATTAAAGTGATGATTGATAATTGGGAGGCTTTCAAAAGTGAGATGACGAGATTTGAGAGACATAATGTTCCTGTTGGAGTGAAAGGCAAGGCTGGTAAAATCAGGGAACAATGGATGAATAAAGATATTGATGTTCTTGTCAAGAATTACAAAAAACATACATTAGATATGGACAGCTGGGATCAAATGAATCTCTTGAAGAGTATAAAGTGTGTAGGGGCATTCTTAAGAGGGAATTTGGGAAGGCAATGAGGTAGTCTTGGCAGATAAGGTTAAGGATAATCCAAAGAGATTTTACAAGTATATTAAGAGCAAAAGAGCAACTAGAACAATGAGTATGACTTTGTGTTGAATCTCAGGAGATGGGAGAGATGTTAAATGAATATTTTACATCTGTTTTTACTGTGGAGAAAGAAATGAAGGCTAGAGAACTCAGGGAAACTCATTGATATTTTGAAAATAGTTCACATTACAGAAGAGGAAGTGCTGGAGGTCTTAAAAAACATATATCTCAGGAACCTGATTGAATATATCCCAGGACTTTATGAAAAGTCACGGAGGAAATTCTGTGGCCCCTAGCAGAAATATTTCTATCATCAGTAACAATGGATGAGGTGCTGAAGGACCTGAGGGTGGCTAATGTTGTGCCTTTATTTAAGAAAGGCTGTAAGGAGAAGCCTGGGAACTATAGACTTGTGAGTCTGATATCGGTGGTAGACAAATTGTTGTAGGTGATTCTGAAAGTTAAGATTTACATGTATTTGGATAGGCAAGGATTGATTAGGGATAGTCAGCATGGTTTTGTGCGAGGGAAATCATGCCTTAAAAACATGATTGAGTTTTTTTTGAGGAAGTGACCAAACCTGAGGAGGGCCAAGCGGTAGATGTTGTTTACTTGGACTTTAGTAAAGCCTTTGATAAGGTTCTGCATGATACACTAATTAATTAGTAAAGTTAGATCACATGGGATTCAAGATGAGCTTGCCAATTGGATACAAAATTGGCTTTACAGAAGGAGACAGAGGATGATGGTGGAGGGTTGTTTTTCAGACTGGAGGCCTGTGACCAACTGTATTCCACAGGAATTGGTACTGGGTCCACCATTGTTTGTCATTTATGAAAATGATTTGGATGACACCAAAATTGGTGGTATAGTGGACAGTGAAAAAGGTTATCATCTTCATCAGTTGGGTCAATGGGCTGAAGAGTGGCAGATGGAGTTTAATTTGGATAAATGCGAGGTACTGTATTTTGTTAAAACAAACAAAGGCAGGACTTACACAATTAATGGGAAGACCATGGATAGTGTTGTAGAACAGAGAAATGTAGGGGTTCAAGTACATAATTCTTTGAAATTTGCATCACAGGGTGGTTAAGAAGGCATTTAGCATGCTTGCCTTCATTGTTCAGAACTTTGAGTACAGGAGTTGGGACATCGTGTTGAGGTTGTACAAGACAGCGGTGAGGCGTCTTCTAGAGTACTGTATGCAGTTCTGTTCGCCCTTTTATAGGAAGGATATTATTAAATTGGAAAACGTTCAGAAAAGATTTACCAGAATATTGCCAGAAATAGAAAGTTTGAGTTATAAAAATAGGCTGGATAGGCTGTTTATTTTTCTCACTTGTTAAATTTTTAATTGTTCAAGTGACAGAATTTTAAAATCCTCACAGGTAACTTTCTTTAAGTCTGCTTGGAAGGTGTTGGCATCGAATGCAGAAACTTCTACACTGTAACAGTGCAGGCTCAAGTCAGCCTTTGGCAGTTTCTTTCAAAATTTGGCATCAAAGTGACAATTTACCCACTCTAAGTCTTTCATCTCATCTATGCATTCAAACTCCGACCACAAATCCCAAATTTCTTACAACTAGACTCCGATCAAGTTTCCCCAAATTTATTACAGTTCAAAAGGGATATGTTAAATTGTTAAGCTCCTGGGTGAGGTGGGATGAACTGGCTCCCCTTCTTTATTCACAACACTCTTAGTCGGTCATAACAAAAATTAGAAATGATCTCCTCCTTTGTTCTTACCTTTCTCACAAACCAAATGAATTTATGTTTTAAAAGGAGCCAATTTAACAAGGCTTTGAGTTGACAAAAGAGGGAGCTTATTAATTATTAAATGTGAGAAAAAAATAACACAACACACATTCACACAGTTTAGAAATGAGAAGGGAGTCCAAGAAACAGAAAAAGAAGATATAAGATAAATGTTCTTTTGGCTAAGAGTCAGTCTTGTTGAGTTTCACAGAAGGTTTCTCTCTGCAAGGTCTAGTGTGATCTCTTGTCACATGTTACCAAACTTACCTTTTTAATATCCTACCTTGCCTCTCACCTGATTCTAGCTCTATTCTGCCACCTGCCATTCCTGGAAGAATTCATCACTCACTAGATATCTGCCGAAAGACTGGCATTGTTAGTGCTGGCACCATCTTTAAAAGGCAGGTGTGCACCCAGACTAGCAGTGGCATTCCAAAGCTGCCCTGCTTGTTGAAGAACAGTAGTTCTAGAGATGTCTGAACATCAATGGCAGTGTCCTGGAGGATGGGCTGGTGCAGAGAAGGGCTGTCTTCCCAAAGCACCAACAAAGGACATTAAGCCACCAGAATTTGGCATCTGCTCTGGGTCATGACCCTGGTCAGGGCAATATCTTCAGTCCAGAGGAACAACCATCATTGCTACAACAAAGTTAAAGACCTTCTCTGCTTCAGAAGGGTAAGTGCCACACTTCTCTCCCTGCTACAATGGCAGGGGATGAGCCTTGAGGGAGGTGGGTGCAGTAACCTTTGGCAAGGAGGACCCTGAACATATCTTGGCCACCCAGACACAAGTGTCCCTGGTACCACCCATTCAAAGCTCCAAGGTCAAGGGCTCCACTGCTGAGCAGGTTCCCTTCACAACATTCATCATTTTTTTCCCACAGAAGCAGAACTTTAAAATATCTCTGTTAAAAGCATAGTATCATATGAATGTGGAAATACTTGTTTGCTAATTTTATCAAGATTAGTTTCTGAATATCCTACTTATGAACTATTTTTGTAGCCTTCTTCACAATATCATTTAAAATTGTTTTCATCCAACTGTAAATTTATTGGCTGAACCAGACGGATGATCCTACTTTGTGAACAGTCTGTACATTAGTTTCTCAATTTAAACACAAGAACAGAGGAAAATTTTGCAATGACTTGCTGCCAACTCATTATTTCAATTAGCTATAAAGTCATTTACATGAACGAAAATGGGAAAAATAACATTGTGCGGGTACATTTTATTGTAATGAATTATTGCTTGTGCAGGCCAATAGAGTGAATGCAGTTTCTTTAAAGAATCTGTACTTCCAGTTTGATGTGTTTTCATTTGTCATCAAATGCACGAAAGCTGTCTGGACAATCATGTAACTGCCCTTTCGTCCGGCCAGCATGAAGACTTTTTTTGAAAAAAATCAACTAATGGTAGTACTAGCAGTCAATTATTTTTTATCTATAAATCAATGTTTTTTTTTCTACTTGCTCTAAATATAATTGTTACAGAGTACCTGCTGTAATCTTTAAATATCTGCAATGCACCTAGTTTAAAAGATTTTCATATGGTATAGCTTCAATGACTAGCTTAAGGTGACTAATCATGTTATAATTCATATTAGGTACTCTTAAGGCAGAATATTATGTTCCAGGAAAACTCATCCTTCAAGGATGACTCTCAAAAACATATAGCATTGCACGTCGTAACACCTTCTTCAATTACCACGATTAATTATAAAACAAAGGTTGTCAACGGCAAACTGCTAAGCTCTCACTGGATACAATATTTACACAATCAACTGACCCCAGTGAAAAGCACAATGAGTGAATAAATGATAGCCATACTTGTATGTTATTGTGGTAGGTTCAAGAGCATAGTAGTGCACAAAACATAATTTCCATTTACATCATCATATGAACAAAACATTTTTACTACATGTTCAATTTTTTTTAAGAAACTTAAGTAACAATTACTAAAATTAATCATGTGGTGTTTAACACAGTTAAGAAAAATGCTGAAGGGATATATATATACACATATACACGACATATATATACATAAACATTAACAATGCATCTTTTATTTTAATAAAAATGTAATTTCTCTTGTCATCTTATTTTACCACAATTGCCAGAAATCACATGGATTCTCAGAAAAATGATATTTATAACAAAGAACAGCTGGCTTGTGTTTTGTTAACCAGGTTATGCCTAGGGATTAGAATTTCTGTAATTAACCACTTGAGCTTCACTTTCATGGTTTATGACATCATCTAGCTCTCCATTGTGACACATTTCAAGCCAGCTATTATCCCCTAGGTAAACATTATTGACAGGAGATCAGGATTAATTCTTGTTACCAGAGATAATTCAGAATTAATACACACTTTAAAATCAATTTACTACAAGACCACCCATATAACGAACTGTTTAAATACTTAATTTTCTTTCCACTTCTCTCTACAAAAATACTGTACATTATTTAAAATGTGTAAGAATCACTAGGTTTAAAAAAAGTAAAAGATAATATACTGTTATCTGAATAGTAAGCTTTTCTAATCTTTAAATAGGAGGTAAAAGAAGAAAATAATCTTAACTGCTTTATAGTTAAATGTGGCACTCTATTTGCAAGTGGGATCAAAAATGACAGATGTGATATATGTTTTACCTTAATCTGAAGGTCTTCAGAGCTTCCAGTCTGCATGTAGAGTGCAAGGAGCTTTGGCAGAACATTTGCCACAGCAACAGCACGTGCATGCTCTGGAGTGTGTCTTCCTATCTGCCCCAGGGCCCACGCAGACGCTGCCTTAATGTGGTCTTCTGGTTCTTCTGACAGGCAGATAGCCAACTGAGGCACCCCCTGTAGTGTTGATCAGAAGCATGCAGTCTTAGTCAGAGACAGTACATGTGATAGGCTTACACTAATAAGCAATTTTAGAGTGGGAAAAAAACAGTTCTTTATTTCTACACTACACATCTTCCTAATGGGTGAGAGAGCAGTTCAGCACACAGCTGCTCAGTGTATTAGAGCCGGCATTTTTTCAGTTTGACAGAATGTCAAGGACAGTGAAATCCTCAACTTGAAGCTCCATTACCTATATCACCAGTACACTATCTACTGTGCAAAATACACGGAATTTGAGAAGTAATACATCTTAAGAGAAGTCGCAGTGCATCTCAAACCATGACTTGCAACAATTAAATGACACATCTAAACATTTATTTTGTTCAGTTATGAATAAAAGAATGAATTATTTTTTTCTGAAATGTTGTTTCCATGTATAAAACCAGATCAAAGACACATTTGTTTCTGACACTAAAATGAAAAGAATTATTTTAATAATGAATAAAACAATTATATTTTATTGAAAACATGCTGCTGTAGAAAGATAATTGGGATATATATATGCTTAGGGCATCTCACCAGTTTTTTGTCTAACATTACAGTGTGACCTTTCCATTTTGGCAGCCCTGATGGTCTAAAGTGCCATATTGATCAAAGTCACTACTGGAGGAAAATGGTGATTTTTTTTATTTTAGCCTTAAATTATATCATTTTTAAATCAAAATTAATTATGATTGACAACAATAGTATTGTAAAAATGATTATATTTTCATATATGTTATGAGAATTTTGTTTTAATGAAACTATTGCTAATGTAACTTTAAATGGTCTTCAAAACATTTTTGTCTAAAACTCTAACTGCAGGGCTTAACATTCTAATTTAAAACTACAATCGACTTTTACCTATCAATCACTAAACTAGATTTAGATTGTAACAGTAATAATTAACTCAAAAACAGAACTGTATTCATTTTGTGCTGAAATAATTAGTGGCAAGATGAAGATCTATATGCACACAAGATCCACCACTGCTTCATGTTGAGACATAGATTAATAGTTCCATCTGTTTAATAGAATTACATGATTACTTCAGTAGTATTTTCTCAATTGTCTACAATAGTAGATCTTAATCTTTTCAGTTTTTTCCCTAATTGTACAGATTTTATAGGATGCCAAGTCCAATTTGTGTATCTAATCAGAGTTCATTTTGACAACTCATTTTATTGGATTGGATTGCGAGTAATGACATGTCTAACAGACTAGTTCAAGTTTTATTAATACTTCACTTAATGCAGCAAGTATTCTTGAAATTATACATGTAAAACAAGAACAAAAATTTCTTTGCTAAGGTCGGTCACATTTGTGGAAGTCCATTATGTGAAATTCCAAATTGATTTTGGAAAGAGTGGAAATAAAAAGATTGCGTGATATTTGAAGCTGCCTGCCATTGTTTGAATTTATTTTGTTAGTTCTGAGCTGAACCAGTCTGATTAACAGCAGAGTACTTTCGACAAAAATGAAATGAGTAAAGTAATTTCATCCTGTTTAAAGCGTGGACTATTTTCAAATTGGCATTAACTATGTTGTGAATTACTACAGCCTGAAAAAAATGGTATTTGTGACTAACAGCTTGAATGAAAATTAGGTGTAAAAAGTAATTAATTATAGGTAAAGAAATTTATTTTACTTGCCAAGAGCTAAATTGCACAGTGTACTTTCAAATTATCTTTTCATTTATGGCGCCTTGTACAAATCCAGCACAGACTGATGGGATGAATGTTGTCAACTCCGACAGCTCTAAAGTTCCTAAATGAAATCACACTTTCTAGTGGGTGCTGATCTACATCACAAAACAACAGACTCACTCAGAGAGGCCCCAAGAATGTCTGGGTTAGTACAGAGAAAAATTCACACTGGTGCAAAAGGGTCTAACCTTCTGAGGGTCAGAGATTAAAATACATTGTTAGGAAGTGTAAAAGGATTTGTGTTGACCATTTCGTCATTCTTTACTTCGTAGTGCTTAATGCTGACACCAGAGTCTAGGTTTATGAATTAGCATGATTTAACTGCTGGTGTTCATCCATTTGTATAAATAGAATGAATGCTAACAGTACAATTACATTGGTTAAAAACTGTAGACTAGTGCATCAAAAATGGAAGAAGTTTTATTTTTCACCATTGACACCATCTAGTCAAGCCTAAATCAGCTCTAAAAACAATATCAATAACTAATAAGTTATTTTATTAAGAATTTATTGAAGGTTGTTTGATTGAAATGCCATCTCATTACGTACAGATATGTTTGCACCCATGATGCAATATCTGTTTGATCTTGTCTGGGCTGTCAATAAAAACTGGACGAGTAGAGGTAAGATACAAATACACGGTGGAGAGAGGAAAGGAGAGAGAAGATGACTGAGATAAAATCTCTTTCTAGTAATGAAGACATATTTCTAAAATAGTAGCAAGCATTTACACATACGCTGCACCTTGATCAGGCAATGAGACCTGGATCTTTAGTCAGGTGAAGCAATAATACTGGGGGTGGGGTAGATAGGGGTATAATTAAGTATCACATCACAACACTCTAGCAAGAAACCTTGAAGACTACTGTGTCAAATTTTGTTCACAGCACAAATTACCATGATTAATGTATTTAAATTAAAGGTCATAATTGAGATTTACTTTGACACATTCTGCATTAAATTAAAACAAAATAAACCTCCTTCTTCCTGAAACAGAAATAAATGAAATGAGTATTGTAGAATTTACATCTGCAACCTCAATTCCTCTGGGAGTATTAACCAACAAATCAATATACCACTGCACTCCAATATGTTTTGCAGCTAGATTAATTTATAGTCCTTTTTCTAGGGCATCATTGTAATGGTAATACACAGATAATGAACCAGGCTCTAACCTTGGAGACAATCACTGCCATTGCCAGGTTCTCCGAGTGAGCCGCCACATAACCAAGCATCATAATACCAGGCAGTCTGACATTGCTTTTGGAATCACCGATATAATCAATGACAGCAGCCACACCTCCTGTATTAACAATAAGCTGAGACAGCTAGTAGAGGAAAAATAACAAGGTGGTTAGTCAGATTTTATCAATAAAACAAGAAAATATCATTTGAAACAACTGATGTCATCTGTTAGTGTACATACATTATTGTTAAAAGAATATTGCATTGTTTCTATTAGTCTATTGACATTCTAAACTCTACTGTTTTTCTCTGCTGTGAAGTAAGACTTGTGCCTCCTTATTGTTATCTGACCAGAAGAAAATATTGTTAACAGCTAATTAAATGATCCACTTGTGTGATCGAACATGGATCACCAACGGTAAGTATAAAATGGGAGGGAGTTTATTTATTACCTCTACCAACTTTCTTGATTCTAATGTAATTGTAACAAGATATTAATCAAAATCAGTTGATTACTTCAATTTTGTGCCATACATTTCAGACTACAATCATTATTCATAGGACATCTTTACATTTGCGATCACTTGAAGAATATGTAAATTTATAATAATCTTGATATAATTAGGTAGCAAAACAGCCCATCAGTAAATAAAAGATAATATTTAAAATCAATCCTATCTATTCAAATGTTTACTAGTTATATGCCATCATAAATCATTTTTCAGTTTGATTGTGACAACATTTTCAGATTATCCAGAATTTTAATTTCCTTTTGATTTGTTTTAAGGATTTTTTTTTTTTAAAAGTGAGACCAGTTAGCTACAGTTAACAGATATTTTAGGGAACAAAATAATGGGAGAATCAGAAGTTATAGACTGGGTCATGAAAAAGATAATTGGAACTAAAACTAGAAGTTTCCATGTGTAACTGCAGATGGTGTCTTTTGATATGATTCATGATATATTTCAGAAAATTAATCACATCCTTCCCTACTCGATCCCAACAATAAGAAACCTGAAAATCACTGTACTGTTGAAAGGCAACCAACCTGAAACTTTAGGGTTGAATCTTACATTTTTTTTGTCAGTTTCACACAGGGCTTCTCGATTTTAGGCCTAATAGGATTTCTTGCGCTATCATTCCAAACTAACCCTCATTAACTACCTACTCTTGCCCCCATGTCACCCCTCGTATCCGACACTAGCCCGAATATATCAAACACTGCACTCAGAAGCACTTAGCTTCCAGAACAGACCGGCATCCCTGGTGATGGCATCATCTTTGAAAAGGCTGTAGTGTCCCCAGACAAGCACACAAGTCTGGAGTTGCCCTGCATTGTTTGTAACATTTGCCCAAGATGTGGCAGATAAAGGAAAACTGACATCTTACTTTACAGACAGGCACCTAGAGATCTGGTGGATGGGGTGGTCTAGAGGAGAGACATTCTCTTTCCCCAAGACAGAAAGAGGAGGCTATGCCATCTGATCCTGCCAGCCCAGTCTGAGATTCTCACCTGGATCATTGCAGGAATGCCAGCAGTGTAGGAAGAAAGTCAATTACCTTCTCCGATCAGCCAGAGTAAGTGCCACCATCTTCTCTCTGCTACTCTACCCACCTGTCCCCAAGGCTCATACACTGTTCCTGTCACTATTAAATGCAATATTTTTTTCTCACTTGCTCTCACACACCCCATCCCCCTGCCCTCTTAACCCTTCTCTCTGCTGCCTACTCCCTCACTCAGGACACTTCACCAAAGCTTACATTCATCTCACTCAATGTCTCCCCTTCTCTCATTCCAGGAGAAAATGGCATATAATATGGCAGAAAAGAGCCAATACAGGCAGTGGGCTGTCTAACATTTGGTTCCTTGTTCCCTATAGGAGAGGACCCCTACCGTGACATGACCAAGCTGCGGAACATCTACGTTCCATCAGTAATAATGACCATGTTCCGGTTGCCTGCTACTTCAACACACCACCGGGTTCCCTGGCCAACATCTCTGTCTCAGGCTTGCAGGCGTGCTGCAGCAAAGCTCAGCACAAGCTGGAGGAACTACGCCTCATTTTCCGTTTGGGGACCCTGCAGCCTTCAGAAATCAATATCAAGTTCAATCATTTTAGGGCCTGATCACCTTCTCCCATGACCTTACCTCAATCCCCACACACCAGGCCTTGTCATCACTGGCTACCACAAACAACCCATTGTCAGCCACTAATAGTTCCCATCAGCAGCTATTTATTCTCACAGGCTGACTTTTACCCATTCCTTTGTCTGCCCAATTGTTTTTCTCTCTCTGAGCTCCATCTCCACCTATTGTTTACTCCACACCCATTCCCCCAACCCCATCTTCAGCACATATGCCAACCTTTTCCTCGTTCAAGTCAAGGATCACTGGACCCAAAATGTTAAGTCTGCTTTCTCTCCACAGATGCTGCCAGACCTGCTGAGTTTTTCCAGCAATTTATGTTTTGTTTCTGATTTTCAGCATGTGCAATTCTTTTCCCTTTTTCATGACTAGCTTCCTGACTTTATGTCTGTGCTGAATGGCAAGGCAGGACAGAAGCAATGTGAGCCTGGTAGCTCTGGTCAAGAGTGACAAGCGCAAAAAGAAGACAAGGCAATACAAGGATGCTGTGAGCATTCAGGTGGGCTTATGGTGTGTAAGGGCTAAGAGAGCAGCCTGGTCCAGTCAGTCAGCTGGATGCTGGCCCTGTGAGCAGTATCGTTGCAGCAGCCTTTCAATATGTTAGGTGTCAGTGCACCCCTAAAAGTGCAGCTTTAAAGTGCAGAAGGAAGCTTGGGTGTTGCACAGCTGGTGCTCTGGAGTATACCCTGAAATGTGGTTGCCAGAGGTCCAAAAAGGAGTCCGAGGGCAAATGGAAAGCTAGAAATGCCAGGTATTTGCTCTGACTTTCATGTTGGGAATTCCGAGTGTCCAGTTTCCTTATGGTGGGTTGGAAGATAGGAAGCTGCGTATTAGTAAGCTGAGATGTGCAGTCAATGAAGTCGATAACAAGCAATAACTACTATTAATAGGCAGTTCACCACTGCCTGGCTAGAACCTCAATTTGATGTCCGCAACTCCAGTGGAAAATGCAGCTAGTTGCTGCTGATAACTGAGACATGCCTTGCTAGACTCTTCACACAATTCTCCCAGATCTCTCGCCATAGCTCACATTGTTCAGGGCCCTATAAGACTCCCCCTTAACTATTTTTTCTATCCACAGTTGTTTAAATTAGTGGAATGTTTTCATCATTTTCTGTTCTATTTATAAAGAGAAATTTGGATTATCTATGTAATAAATCTACAGAAAGTACAATAAAGAAAGATAATTAAATACAGTATCATGCAAAACAAAAGCACTGTACACCAGTCAGCACCATCACTGAATCTTCTTGTCAGGCACAATAACTTTGGCAAAATTTCATTCACAAGCATAACCTGTTTCCAGTGAACCTCTGCCAAGATAATGGTTAAAGGGTGGGAGATTCCCTGAGGAAATTCCTAGCATATATAATTGGTTAAACATTAGTAGTAGTGGTGAGATAATGAAACAAAGCTGGATTGTCAGTTTCAGAGCATAATGTAAACTACCATATGATTACTCTGAACATGGACCATAAAAGTCTCCTCATATTATGTTTTCTCACTTGTTCATGGGATCTGAGCGTCACTGGCCAGACCTGCATTTAAATGTCTATCACTAGGAGTCAACCACATTATTTTGGGTCTAGGGACTCATGTAGCCAAACCAGGTAAGGATGGCAATCCCCTTCCCTAAAGGACATGGTTTAGGCTTGTAATCTTAATAAAATTATTTTATTGTGCTGTAGGATTTGTATATTTCTTAACAATCTGGTAAGATAGTTCACTGAATTTTACTAAAATTTGGCTCAGTTATCTCCCTCAATTCTCTACTGCTCACTTTATTGTGTATGCATGATGCTGTAGCCTGCTATTGTGCACTCACCAGCAGCCAAGTACTTGCTGCTACTGGAACATTCCAGAATTCGCAGTGCTGGAGCCATGTTTAAAGTCCAGCTGTCATCCAGGTCAAACATTCCAGCCAGCAATAGCCTTTCACAACAAATGGAGTTGGGGGAAACAAAATGGAAAAGCTTCTGAGGACACACAGCTGATACTTCATTGGAAATAATCATCACCTGTGTCAACTGTCACTGTAACTGCTACTACAAGAATGAAACTACAGAGGCTGCTTGTCCTTATCGTTTGTTAACAGCCTCATTAACTGCGAATATCACTTCATTAATATGCAGCATCCAAACTATTGCCTGCCATGAGGAAAACAGATGTTAAGAATTTGCAACTTGAAAATCAGAACGGTTATCAGGTGAGCTCAGCTCACCACTTGCTCCATCTATACTTCTCGCTGCCTCGGGAAGGCAGCCAACATAATCAAAGACCCCATCCACCCTGGTTATAACATCTTTCAACCTCTTCCGTCGGGCAGAAGATACAAAAGCTTAAACACACATACCATCAGATTCAAGAACAGCTTCTTCCCCACTGTTATTAGACTTCTGAATGGACCTCTCAAATTTTAAATTTAATGCTGATCTCGCTTTTTGTGCATCTTCTCTGCAGCCATAACATTGTATTCCTCGGTCTGTTCTACCACCCTTATGCACTTTGCACAGTATGATCTGCCTGTACTGCAAGCAAAACAAAACTTTTCACTGTACCTAGATACATGTGACAATAATAATAAATCAAATCAAATCTCGGTTGCCAACCATGGACACCCTGCATCTATATTTCAGGGCACATGCAATGGGCTGGAACTGCAAGTCTTCCTGTCCATGGACTATACATATGGCTAAAAAGTGATGAAAAATTCTGTGTTCTCTGTAGCTTTTACACTGTATTCTTTCCAATTAACACTAGGACAGTTGGAATTCCCTACTATTACCTTTTTGATGCACATTTCAGCAAATTAACTATATATTTTCCCCTGACCGTGGATTGAAAGCATACTTCCAGCAGTGTAAGTGCCTGGTTTTTGTTCCTCAGTTCAACAATATGACTTCCTTTGGTGGTCCTTAATGTAAAGGACTTTGGTTAGGCCATAGCTGGAGTACTGGGTGCAATTCTGGACACCACAATATGGGAAGAATGTGATTGCATTGATGGGGGTGCAGATGAGATTCACCAGGATGTTGCCTAGAATGGATTATTTTAGCCATGAAGAGAGGCTGGATAAGCTTGGGTAGTTTTCATTGGAGCAGAAAGGGTTGAAGGAGGATCTGATAAAGGTCTATAAAATTATGAGGGGCATAGACAGGGTAGACAGTAAGCAGCTTTTCCACTCAGTTGAAGGGTCAAGATCAAGGGAGCACATATTTAAAGAGAAAGGCAGGAGGTTTAGAAGGGATTTGAGGAAAAATATTTTCACCCAGATGGTGGAGGCGGTCTGGAACACACTGCCTAAGAGGATAGTTGAGGTGGGTAACCTCATAACCTTTAAAAAGTATTTGGATGAACATTTCAAGTGTAATACATTCAAGGCTATGGGGCTAATATGGAAAAGTCAGACCAGTGTAGGCAGAAATGTATTTTAAGTGATATAGAATCGGTCAGCCGAATGGGTCCTTCTGTACAGAATGATTGTATGGCATCCCTCCTGTTTCTCTGGTAGCTTCTTTAACTAATATTGCAATTACCCTTCCCTTTTAATCCCTTCCTCTATGCTACTGAAAAACCCTTAAAAAAGGAGTGTTCAGGTGCTATTCCTGCACTCCAAAAAGGACTATTCCAGCAAAAGCTCTGATATTGTTCTTCTAAATGTGCACATGTCTTCAGCTCATTTGCCTTATTCACTAGACTCGTTGCGTTGAAGTATATATTACTAATCACGGAACAACTCTTTCTTTTCTAGCCTTTGTTTCTTCAACTTTCCATTGTAGCTTACTAATTTTCTGCCTTCAATTTCCAGTTTTGCTCGTCTTCTTTTTGAATCTATATTCAGATTTATCATGGACAGAGTCTATCCCATCTGAATTGGATAATGCATATTAAAAGTCCTTTGGTAATACAAAACTTGAGTATTTCTGAACAAAAACAGATATACTTTGCTGAAGCTTTTCGTTTTGCACTCATCAGGACAACTTGCAAGATATATTAATTCACAATATACCAAAGTAAAGGGAAAACCAGCCCATGCTTGAAAAACACCCAACAGTTTCTGACATTATTTAAGAAAGGTGGTAAGGAAAAGCCAGGAACTATAGACCGCTGAGTCTCACGTCAGTGTGGGTAAGTTGTTGGAGGGGATTCTGAGGGACAGGAATTACATGTATTTGGAAAGACAAGGACTGATTAGGAATAGTTAACATGGCTTTGTGTGTGGAAAATGGTGTCTCACTAATTTGATTGAGATTTTTGAAGAAGTGACAAAGAAGACTGATTAAGGCAGAGCAGTGGATGGTGCCTGTATGAATTTCAGCAAGGCTTTCAACAAGGGGCCGCATGGTAGACAGGTTAGCAAGGTTAGATCACGTGGAATACAGGGGCAGCTCGCCAACTGGATTCAAAATTGGTTTGAAGGTAGGAGATAGAGGGTGGTGGTGGAGCATTGTTTTTCGGACTAGAGGCCTGTGACCATTGGTGTGCTGCAAGGATCGGTGCTGGTTCCACTGTTTTTTGTCATTTATATAAATGGTTGGATGTGAATATATGAAATATGGTTAGTAAGTTTGCAGATGACACCAATATTGGTGGTGTAGCAGACAGTGAAGAAGGTTATCTCAGAGTACAATGGGATCTTGATCAGATGGGCCGATGGGCGGAGGAGTGGTAGATGGTGTTTAGTTTAGATAGATGTGAGGTGTTGCATTTTGATAAGGCAAATCAGGGCAGGACATATACACTTAGTGGTACGGTCCAGGGAAGTGTTGCCGAACAAAGAGACCTTGGGGTAGATTCAGAGTTCCATGAAAGTAGAGTTACAGATAGACAGGATAGTGAAGAAGGCTAATGGTACAGTTGCCTTTATTGGTCAGTGTATTGAGTACAAAAGTTGGGACGTCATGTTGCAGCTGTGCAGGACGTTGGTTTGGCGACTTTTAGAATACTACATTCAGTTCTGGTCTCCTTCCTATAGGAAAGATCTTGTTAAACTTGAAAGGGTTCAGAAAAGATTTACAAGGATGTTGCCATGGTTGCAGGGTCTAAGCTATAGAGAGAGGCTGAATGTGCTGGGGCCATTTTCCTTGGAGTGTCGGAGGCTGAGGGATGACCTTATAGAGGTTTATAAAATCATGAGAGGCATGGATAGGGTGAATACCTAAGATCTGTTTCCCAAGGCATAGGTTTAAGGTCAGAGGGCATAGATTTAAAAGGGACCTAAGAGGCAACTTTTTCACGCAGAGAGTGGTGCGTATATGCAATGAGCTGCCAGAGGACGTGGTGGAGGCTGGTACAATTACAACATTTAAAAAGCATCTTGATGGGTACATGAATAGGAAGGGTTTAGAGGGATATGGGCCAAATGCTGGAAAATGGGACTAGATTGGAGTGGCATGGTGGCTCAGTGGTTAGCACTGCTGTCTCACAGCGCCAGGGACCCGGGTTCAATTCCACCCTTGGGTGACTGTCTGTGTGGAGTTTGCACATTCTCCCTGTGTCTGCATGGGTTTCCTCCGGGTGCTCTGGTTTCCTCCCACAGTCCAAAGATGTGCAGGCTAGGTGGATTGGCCATGCTAAATTGCCTGCAGTGTTCAGGGATGTGTAAATTAGGTGGGTTATAGGGGGATTGGTCAGGTTGGGATGCGCCAAGGGTCAGTGTGGACTTGTTGGGCCAAAGGGCCTGTTTCCACACTGTAGGGATTCTATGATATTAATTTAGGATATCTGGTCTGCATGGATAAGTTAGACTGAACGGTCTGTTTCCGTGCTGTATGATTCTACGACTCTAATAGATGCAATTATTCAATTGGACAACGTTTGTTAAATAATTCCAAGTGTGTGAAGAATTATGTTGACAACCAATTTAGGATTGTTAGTTGGGTTCATAGGGTGCTGCACTTGCATGTACTTGAACCCTTTATATTAATACACACGGTGCTATTCTTTGCAGACTGAAAGAATATGCAGACGTACTGCACATGTTTAAACTTAACAAAATAGGTGACAGCTATTTTCTGGTTCACTTTTCAGATCAATGCTGTGACCAGAGTCAACCTGCCTGGGTTAAAATTTAAATAAAGTATGGTTATTAGCAGTCAAACATCGTTAACTGGTGCATTTTTCATGGCAAAGCCTCTAACAATCATATCCATTTGCCAACCAGTTAGCACTCTCCTCTCATATAATATAAATGTTGTGTTCTCTTTATTTTGATATAGTATATAGTATTTAAAACATCTGGAGTGCTGTTTTTAAATACATTGATTGATCCATAGGAACAAGTAGTATCATTGGTCCTTGGAAAGCACAAAGATGGGAGAACCATAATAAATGTTTCTGCCTCCTAGGGGCTCTGCAGTCACCATTTCTATTCCCAGTCAGTTTTATACCAAACGCTTCCACTCTCATGTCAACCATGGTGTAGTTTCTGCTCCTGGCCTACTAGGTTCTTTGTCCCTAATTTCTTGCCACTCTTTACATGCTCCTGGTTTCCTTACTTTCAGCTCCTGCCTCCTCTTATTTCGTGGACTTTGTGCTGAGCTTCCCTAGTCTCCCAGGTGCAGTTCCCGAAATGGGACTATTTGCTTTTCTGCTTTGCAAACAAGCTCCCTACACCTCAATGTCACAGAAGATGAAGTAGTAATTTTTAAGTAAGGATCAGCTAGGCCAAAAATGATAAAAATCTGTTTTACATAATTTAAGCTTGTGCTCTAAAAATATATTTTGATATTGTGTACCTTAGAAACAAATAAATGAAGCTATTATGAACTGCTTATAAATTTTTAAGTGTACAAGTTTAAAATAGTGCAAACTACCACTATGCCCTGTCTACACAGCCCCTATGACAATCTTTCAGCTATTCTGTCGCACTCTTAAAATCAAATGCATTTACCTCAGGAGTGTGCTTGGCAATTTCCCGAATTAGGGTGGCGACATTTTTTTTCACAAATTCATCCGAGTCCTTCAGGCATGTTAAAACAGCAGGAAAAATTTCTGCTTCTACAACCATTTCTGCCAGATCCACTGAATGCTTTGCAATCTGACCAAGAGCCGAAAACACCTGACGCTATAAAAGACAAAAAAGTAGCACAAGAGTTCATAGCTAAAACATTTAAATATGCAAGAACTAACGAACCAAATGACAATTTAAGATAACCTTTGCAATAAATTGAAGAATTTCAGCATTCACTGCATTTTGCTTGAATAGATCGTTAATCCTATCCGATTAATCATAAATAGAACCCCAATACAGATTTATGACCAAATGACTAGAACACAGAATATAGTACAGTACAGGACAGGAACAGACCCTTCGGCCCACCATGTCTGCACTGACCATAATACCATTCCAAACTAATCCCATCTGCTTGCATATGGTTTGTATCCCTTTATTCTCTGCCTATTCATATACCTATCTAAATGTCTCTTAAATGTTGCTATTGTATTGCTTTACCACCTCCCTGGCAGCATGTTCCAGGAAATTACCACCCTCAGTGTAAAAAACACGGCTTGCACATTTCCTTTAAACTTTATCCCTCTCATCTTATACCTACGCCCTATAGTATTTGGTGTTTCCACCCTATCCAATGACCCCTGTAATTTTATACACTATCAGGTCACCCCTTTGTCTCTGACACTGTAGCAAAAACAATCCAAGTTTGTCCAACCTCTCCATACAGCTAATACATCCAATCCAAGTAACATCCTGGTAAACATCTTTTGCACCCTCCCCAAAATCTCCATATCCTTCATATAGTGTGATGACCAGAACTGCACACAGTACTCCAAATGTGGCCTAACTAAAAGTCTTATACAGCTGCAACATGACATGTCAACTTTTATACTCAAAAACTGATGAAGGCAAGCATGTTGTACACATTCTTTATCACCTTATCCACTTGTGTTGCCACTTCCATGGAACTATGGACTTGCACCCCCTGACCCCTCTGTATATCAATGCTCTTAAGGGTCCTGCCATTTACTGTATACTTTCCTCTTGCATCTGACCACCCAAAATGCAAAACCTCATACTTGTCCAGATTAAACTCCATCTGCTATTCATTGTCCAACTTTCAAAATGACCTATATCCTGCTGTAATCTTTCATAACCTTCTGCTCTATCCACAACTCTACCAATTTTCATGTCATCTACAAACTTCCTAATCAGATCACCTACATTTTCATCCAAATCATTTATATATATAACAAATAAATGAGGTTTCGCATTGAGCTTTGTGGAGCACCATTGGTCACAGACCTCGAGTCAGAAAAACACCTTGGTACAGCTATTCTTTATCCTCTATGACCAAGCCAATTTCATATCCAACTTACCAACTCACTGTAAATCCCATGTGACTTGATCTTCTGGACCAGCATACCATGAGGGACCTTGTTAAATGCTTCAGTAAAATCTATGTAGGCTACATCCACTGCCCTAGCCTCATCAATTATGTTTGTCACTTCCTCAAAACTTCAATCAAATTTGTGAGACAAGATCTGCCCCAGACAAAGCCATGCTATCCCTAATAAGTCCTTTTTTTGTCTAAATGCAAGAAAATCCTGTCCCTAAGAATCTTCTCTGATAATTTCCCTGCAGTTAATGCTAGGTTCACCAGCCTAAAATTTCCTGGATTATCCCTGTAGCCCTTCTTCAACAAAAGGACAACATTGCTTAGCCTCCAGTCTTCTGGGACCTCGCTTATGGCGAAAGAGGACATAAAGATGTCTGTGAAGATTCATTATTTTATTTCAGCTTCAAAAAGTATTTTATTTTCTTCAAACTGTGATGCATCTAACATTGAATTAATGTATTCATTTGCTAATGAGAACAATCTGTGCAGTATGTGTGCTCACCTTTAGCTTAGCATCAGGGTTTAGGATCATTTGAGCTAGGTGAGCAATGGACCCTGCATCGACTACAGTTTGAGCTAGCTCTGGGGATTGTTTAGCGATATCACTTAGTGCAGATGCAGCAATCCTTTTCAGTGGCACCTCTGGTTCCTGGATACAAAGAACAAGAAGAGGAACAGCTCCTGCATCCACTACTGCCTGCGACAATTCTGCGGGTCCAAGAAAAATAATTAAGTGAGTATGGATAGATGACCCTTGAGCTAGCCATTTTTCACCCTGACAGATACAGCAAGAATAAAAAGGGGCACATCCCCACCTCTACTGCATCTGCATTTCAAATCAGTCTGCCTAGCTTATAGAGCATGTGGATTGATCCATAGCTAAAAGGACACAGGTCAAAGGATAGGCCCCATTTACATGTGGCATGTTTTAAGCAGATTGGGTTGAAATGGTTTGTTATTCTGTTAGAAAAGAGACAAACAGACCTCAGCTGTTTAAATTATGACCTCTCTGAATCTTCAATAGCACATGTTTTACACATGGAATACAGCAAACAGAAGTGGCAAATTTAATTGCACTGTAATTTACTACTATTAAAGCTTTTGAAAGATACTATAATACTCAGAGAAATCCTTTTTGCTAACTGATTAAATTGTTTTTTTTTTAAGCCAATAAAATTTCCAGAATTTGTCTTATATTAGTCAATCTGGCAATAAGTGAACACTGGACCAGTGCCACACCATATTTACAGTAGTTTTCACTATTCAGTTTGTAAATCCACAGAACTACACTGCTCTACTTTTGCTTCCTTACTTCTACAATTCAAATTGTTACTTTCTCACTATCCCACTATCCCACTATGTCAAAAATTAGCTAACTTATACACATTAAAATTATTTATACTGATCATGAATATCTAGTAATTACTGCTGTTACAAATGTGAAGTCACAAATAGCTGGTGCTGTTTTACGTGGCATTACAATTATATTGTTTCAAATGTATCAAAAAGGACTGAAGTTCATAAAATAAATGCTGTATTTTTATTTCACTCAACCTTCATGGAGGCAAGTTTTCCATGTTTAGTTAACATGAAGATGATACAAAAGGGCAAAGGCTATTTTTGGAATGATTCTGCAAGCAGCAGCGGGAGTTGGTGTGAAGTAAATAGTCATTGCAAGTTTTTTTTAAAGGATTTGGCTCCTCATGTTTCTTTATTTTAAAAAAACTGATCAAGTAGAGCATAAGGAGAAAGACAACATTCCAGCATTCCCGATGATACAGATTTGAAGGATTTATACTACCATGTCTCATTCAATTTAGGTTCCTGTTCTGCAATCATATTTCATCGACTTACGATGTTAACAAAAAAACATGAACTACACTAATAAAAAAAACTCACACTCTCAATTGAGAGGCTTCCAATAGTGAAAGTCACAAAAAATATTCAAAATAGAGACACAATTTCCACTTTACATTGAAATATACTTCTGCCAGTTTTACTTAAAAGAAAGGTAAAATAATTCCTTCAGATGTTTGCATATGATAATACAAATAATTGTCTTCAGCGAACCAGTGGACAACTAGCAAATGTAAGTATCATTTTGATTTAACTCGTGTGCTTTTTCCGAAGGCTTCATCAGTAGCAGGACAAAGCTCAAGTAAAAGTAATTCTTGCCACCCTTTTTTTTCTTCAATTTAGTCTACTGCACAGTGATTGAGGAGGCATCATGTTACTCTGTGATAATGAGAGTTGTTATCATTCTGTGTCGCATGATTATCATAAATGCTTCAGGAGTTTTTTTACATTGCTAATCACAATCAGATGGCAAAAGTAAGACATTTCTAATGCAAGATGCTTTACCAAAATTAATGAAAATGGACATTTTGGGCTGAGTTTTCCTAGCTTCTGAATGACATGTGCAACAATGAGTCAGTTGTTAAAATATAGCAAGAAATGAGATTTTGCACACAAGATTTTAATGATGAGATGATTATGTTGTTAGTGAGCAGTAAGAGGTCCATTTGCATGCACTAACATCTTGTTATTATTTATTCTTGCCTCATTTATATGCAGTTTTGTATTCTCCCACACGGCAAAAAGCAACCAAGGGGCAACAATTCATCAAATAAAAGTCAGAGCAGATGTCTAGTGGCACTAGTTGCCACTTGCTTCCCAGCTTTTCAATTTGGATAGCAGTCCCCAACACCTCAGGGCACACTCTATCTGAAAGACCACCTGCACCTCTTTCCATTGACGTTAGCAACGGACACATGCCAGACTCAACATATCATTGGGGCACATCTTTGACTCACTTAGAATACAGTTTACTACTTCAATACAGCACCTTGGATCACACCAACACCTCACATTGCAATGCAGCTACCATTCCATTTGCATGCAGCATCAGGCACCCATTTCCTAGATTGGAGTGGAATGCATCTGAGGGCTCTTAGCTTATCCTGTGAGCACTCACTCCTTTGCGCCCACTGCACAACCTCTGTGTAGTAGCTGCATCAAATGTTTTAAACGAAGGATGTTTTCCACCAATAGGTTGTAGTTTTCAATCTAAAACGTGAATAGATCTCAGTGCGGAGACAGTGCTGAATACATAGGTTGTACGTCTCAGTGACCGGCTGATTGAATTAGACAGGATGTTTCTTTAGTTGTTCATAATCAGCAGAATAAAGATTGTACGCATCTAGCCCACATGTGCAAAATGCAAAACAGAACTTCTACTATCAGATGTGATACTGTAACTATGCAGCGCTCGCTGAGGAATCCTAAATGTACCAATAACTACAAAAGGTATATGTTCAAGATGAATTACCTGAGAGCTTGGAAATCTATAGTTCCCCGTTGTTTTCACCATGGCAGTGCCTCACCAGAGTTGACTTACCAACCAATCAGCACCTTTCTCTTCTGTAGTGTAAGTTGTTCTGATCTATGAAATATGGCATTCTTGGAGCTGTTGTGATGAATGCAAGACAAAAAGCTCCAGCAACATGTCTCTCTTTTGAGCAATTTTAAGGGTCAACTACCATAACAAAGTATATTAATAATTTGCATGAAATTTATTATGACAAAATTTACTTGGACAGGTAGAAAACAAGTTGTGAGGAGGACACAATGAGTCTGCAAAGGGATGAAGGTCAAGTGAGTGTGCATAAATTTGGTAGATAGAGTACATTGTGGAAAAATATGACATTGTCCTGTTTCACGAGAAGAAGGAATAAATCATATTATTTTAAGGGGGGGAGACTACAGAATGCAGAAATGTAGGAGGATCTGGATGCCCTCACAATAAATCACAAAAAGTTAACATGCAGGTACAGCAAGTAATTAGGAAGGCACATAAAAAGTCAGCGTTTATTGTAAAGGAGATAGAGAATGAAAGTGAAATCTTATAGGGCATTGGTAGGACTGCATCTAAAGTACTGTGTACATGTACGAAAACATGTTCAAAGAATGTTCACCAGATTGATTTCTGGGATGAAGGGGTTGTGTTATGAGGCAAGGTTCGTAGTTTAGGTTGATACCCATTGGAAGTTAGAAGAATGAGGTGATCTTATGGAAACATAAAAGATTCTGAAGGGATTTGACAGGGTAGATGCTGACAGGATGTTTCCCCTTTTTGAGGAATCTACCATTTCAAAATTAGGGATCTCCCATTAAAGACGAGAAAAGGAGGATCGTTTTCTCTTAAAGGGTTATTAATCTTTAGAATTCTTTATTTCAAAGGGTATTGTTGAGTTGGATAGATTTTTGATCAGTTAGGGAATTGAGGGCAATAAGGGAAATGCAGGAAAGTGGAGTTAAAATCATGATCAGGTCAGCCATCTTTCTGAATGGCAAAGCAGACTTGAGGGCCAAATGACCTCCTTCTGCTCAAATCTTCCATAATATCATTTGATCTGAGGTGAGCAAGTCCAGCTGCTCTATTTATAATGTTATAAACTTTGAAACATGGCTGTACCTGGAACAAATCTAAGTCAGAGGGTATAGGGGTGATGGATGAAACGAACTTGGTGTACATTAGGAGGCAGGCAAAGTTCCAAGTTTATGTAAGTAAGAAAATTGGAGAACAATATTTGCCTATGTAGGCAGTCTGGAGGAGTTTTTTTGTGTTGCAATTTTGTTATCAGGGCACTGATATTTGGTCAACCAAGAGATAGAAAACGCAAACTTTCATCTGTAATGTTGTCATTTTTAACATATTTAATATCAATGAAGGCAAGGATGAATGGTATATTTGTCCTTTATTAGAGTCATAACTGTACAGAAGTATATTCAGTCTTTTCAGTCTATGGCTGGTCTCTGTAGTTCTGTACAGTAATACACTCAGTTCCCTGTTCTCTCCCTTAAGTGCCCATTTAATTTGCTTGTGAAATCATTCATCGTCTTCACTCCCACCTCTCTTGTAGGCAGCAACTTCCAGGTCACTACCACTCACTGCTTAAAAAGGTTCATTCACAAATGACCCCCGTATCTCATGCATAAAACCTTAAATCACTATCCTCAAGTCCTTAAACCATCAACTCATTGAAGCAACACTTCTTTGTCTAATTTATCTAAACCTGTCATAATCTTGTAATCTTTTTCAAATCTTCCATAATATTATTTGATCTAGGGTGAGAAAGCCCAGCTGCTCTAACTTAATCCGGTGGCAAAATTTCCTTGTCCCTCATCAGTTATGATGTGAAGGTGCCGGTATTGGACTGAGATGGACAAAGTCAGAAGTCACAGGACACCAGCTTATAGCCCAACAGGACTTCACGTGATGAAGGAGCAGCAATCCAAAAGCATGCAATTTCAAATAAACCCATTGGACTATAACCTGGTGTCATGTGACTTCTGACTTCCTCATCAGTTACATGAGAAAGTTAACAGATGAGACCTTTAAAGGTACTGGCAGTCACTATAAAGAGATCAGTAACCATTGTGCAGGTCCTGATCGACTTGAAACAAGGGCTCCTTTTTAAAATATAGAACAAAGGAAACCCAGGCAATTTTACAGGTTGCTTAATTTCGCATTAGCAACATATAAAATAGTAGATATGATTAGCATAAGGAAGCTGGAATGTCATGAGTGCAATGACAGCTCATAAAAAGGGAACTGTATAGGTACTAGGAAAGGACACCTGAGGAATTGAATTAATTAGACAGGTCTTTCATTGAACTGTCACAGACATTATGGACCAAATGGCCTC